TACTGCTTTGTTGTTACTGCTTTGAAAAGGTCTTATTAGGATTTGGAGGCTAGGAGTGCAGCTCAGTGGTACAGTGTATGTGTAAGGTCCTGAGTTAAATCCCCAGAATCATAAAAAATATTTGAGGAAAGTTCTAACCAGCAGTCAGAAATATGAAACTGAATATTCAGAGCTAAGGATCAAACCAGGGTTTACACATGCTAGGCTAGTAAGCTACACTGAGCTGTACCCACAGCTACCTTTATTTTTATGATTTTTATGTATATTTTAAATGGTATACCTTCCAACAGGGATAGAACTAATTACAACTACAGTTCCTTGTAAAATTAGCACTAATACTTTTTTTGAATAGAAATTATCCACAGCACGAATATCTTTATTTAATCCTTTATTAATGACTTTTGAAGTAACGTTATAAAAGAAACAGCTTGCTATGCATCTTATTTAATGATCATTTTTTACAAGAAAAGCTGATAGACCCTTCAGGCTCTCAATTAAGCATTACAGTTTTTATGGTTGCTGCACAGAGGACCATAAAAGTAAGGAAATGAAAAAATGTTTATCTCAACTCACCCAGAATCTCTTTATGGCACACCTTATATGAGTGAGTATATTTTTAAAATTTAAGGCATTATTACAGTAGAAAGCACCTTGCCTTTAACATTACCTTCCAAAATACTCTCTACTGCTTCAGACATACCCAGCCCAATCATACCTGTCATTTTCTGGAAGTCCCATTTCATGAGGGTAAGTGTTGTTAGTTGCACTGTTACAGCTGTTTTAATGTCCTGAATCAATTCAAAATGTCTATTTTTTTTTTTTTTTGTGATGTTTTAACTTTGGGGGAGAACTAAAGCCACAGAGTGCCAGATATGGCAAGTAAGGTGGATGAGAACACACAGTAGAGTTTTTATTTCCCATAAAGATTTGATCAATAAGAGATGCACACAGAATATGGTGAATGTTTAAATTTTTAAAGTTTACTACAGTAAAAGTCACACTGTCATCCACCCCCCGTCAGAGCAGAGTATTTCCCCCTCAGTGTGAACACGCTTGTCCCATTGTTCTTGATAATACATCTCCTCCTGCAATAATTTCTTTAAGATTTAAACATTCATTGTATTTTTATCATCCTTTGTATTTATACAACCAATGATTTTTTGCCTTTGGCATACGGATAATTTTTAAGCACATTTATTGCAAGTTTTAAGAAAATGTCTATTGCTATGTATATTTCTTTTGGAAAAATAAAAAAGATTGTTCTAGTTGCTAGCACTTAGAAATATACCAAGTACTGATATTTTTTAAGGACAAATTTTTATTACAGTTTGAAAAATTTTTATTATGGCTTAAAATGTTTATGTAATAAGTATATGCTTTGAAAATATGTTCATATAATCTCAGTATAAGATCTGATAGCCTGCGGGAATAAGCAGTAGTGACTAGAAGGACAGTGTGTTCCTGGAAGATAAATTATAGCTGCCACCTCCACATTGGCTAATTTCAGCTTAACCATATTAAAATGACAAAAATGTTGGCCCAGGAAAAACACACCATGTAGTCCAACAGTTCAAATTGAGATATGTATTCCAAAAAACTACTCTTTGTAAACATAGGAATTTAAGAAGTAAACTGAAGCACTGTGTACTGTTCACCTTGGCAAACAAAGCACAGCTTCATCTGTTCAGTCTTAAAAACAAGCATTACCTTGCCAGTTAAATTCCAAAAAGCAACTTACAAATTGCTCCCATTCACAAGCTCTGTCAGTATTGACAAGACAACAAAAATCCTGTGAAATGGTGAATGTTAGAGCTATCTTTAGCATTGAAATGTCATTTTTATTATTCTTAAAGGACCGCATAGCCAGAAAATTTAATTATGAACTGTTAACTAATTGAATTAATTATAATAAAGGTGAAACATCATGTGTTTGTATGTATGTGTAACCAGAGAAGGAACCTGTGGTGCTTTTACTTAGTTGCTACCTGTTCTCTTTTCTGTTCTGTTTTTTCTTTCTTTCTTTTTTTTGTCAGACAGGTGTTTTTGCTAAATTGTCCAGACTGGCCTTGTATTTGTGATCCTCCTGCCTCAGCTTCCCACCTAACTGGGATAACATGCATCTCATTGCATACTGCAGGCAGGACTGACAGTGGCAGTAGGAGGGATTGTGAGCTACATCTCCAGTCCTGGTTTCTCTTATTTGGTGTAAAACTCTTCTGTTTTAAATGCGAATGTATTTAATATGGAGAACTCCCGTTTTGAAAAATTAACATAACTTTTATTTTAAAATGTTTATGCGTGTAGACGGGGGTTTAGCTTAGCAGTACAACTGCCTGCCTCACAAGCACAAGGTCATGAGGCTGATCCCCAGTACAAAAAAAAAAAAAAAAAAAAAAGCTTGTTAGTAACAATTCAGTAGAGAATAAAGAAGAAAATAATGATCAAAAATGCCACCCCAAAGGGTACATGTTGCTAACTTTATGCTCAACATTATTGTGATATTTTTGCATACTCCAAAGTATATTACACACTCATAAATGTCCAAATAATTTTATGCAGTGAATCTTTAAGTTTTGTAACCTATTTTTATTTAGGACCTCTTTCCAAGTACTAGGGGACATAGTTATATTTATGTGGAAGACATGCTGAGATCTAGGGGAAATGGACCACAGATATGAATAAATAAGGAATTTGTTGTCTTCTGTACAAGTCAAATAAAAATCTTATTAAATTGAGTGTATTTGGATGTATCTTGTTATGTTGATAGTCATCGTCTGTGCTTTAAACACTTAAGAATAGCTTTTCCAAGTTTTTCAATTGTTCTGGTTCCATAGAACAGCAAAATACTCAGAAGTTAACAGAGGAGGATCCTAAAATACTGCACAGTTTCCATATTGGCTACGGCATTTGCACACTTTTATCCACTATTTTTCCTATTTTTTAAAATTTTATTTAAAGAAAGGCTAAACCAAACAGAAAATAGGTAGAAATAATACATACATTCAGAGAAAAAAATAAACAGTAAGAAATCACTAGTTGTTGTTTATATATTGTTGTTTTACAAATAGTTGTTCAAGATACAAAAATGGAACATGTAAAGTGGGAATTCAGACAGCGAGAGCGCAAACAGTTCCGTTCAACTGCCCAACAAAAACTTAGTAACATGGTTGTCAATCCTATACACTTAAACATACATGCAGTTATCCATATCTTCATTTATGTTTAGATTAAACAAATTGAAGCAGGTTAAAATCTTTCTGAACAAAGAATAATAGTATTGCTGGATTACACATCATGACACTCCATGATCAGCACTGGGTACTGAGGGCAGGGGCCATGGGTACTGTAGTGTCTTTTTTTTTTTAATTTAAAGAAAGACTAAACAAAACAGGTAGAAATAATACATAATTTCACAGAAAAACAGTAAGAAATCACTAGTTGATGATCGCAGATTGTCTTCTTACAAATAGTTATTCAAGATACTAAAGTGGAGCTTATAAAGTAGGGATTCAAACAGTGAGACTGCAACCAGTTCTGTTCAACTATCCAACAAAAACTTAGAAATATGGTTATCAATCCTATACACTTAAACATATATACAGTTACCCATATCTTCAATTATGTTGACATTGAATAAACCCAAGCAGGCTAATATCACTCTGAACAGAGAATAACACTATTGCTGGGTTTCACATTATGACACTCCAGGACCAGCACTGGCTATTTTAGTGTCTCTTTTTCTTCAAAGTATCTGTTCATTTCATGTGTCATAAGATCAGTTCTCATAAACTTTATGGATTCTACATATGCATGAGTCTTAATATGTATTTCTATCCTTTCTATATTAGAGGGAGAAACAAAACAAAGCAAGGCAAAACAAAACATATTCCTATAAATATATGAAATGAAATAAACATATAAGACCGTTGTGCAAATCGTTCTACCATGGTTCCTGTGTTGTCTCTTTTTATCTTCAATAGAATTGACTATGTCATCAGACATAGTATAATTGAGTATATCAGTATATAACATTAATAAAAACACAACTTTGTATATAGTATAGAACTTCAAAAACCGGCAGTTATCAAACCAGAACGTGTATCATTGAGTCTTGTCATCCTCAGTGTAGTTGCCTATACTCTCAGACTTGATACTATCAATCATATCAGTTTTGTATCCTAAATTTTTTATTAATGCACATTTGTTATACAAATTAATGAGGTTCATTTTGGCAGATTTGTACATGTATCTAACATACTGTGTTTTCTTCCTTTTTTCCTTTCTTCTTCCCTTCCTTCTTTTACTTTGTTTCCTGAGTGTTGAGGGCAGGGGCCATGGGGCTTGAAACCAAGGCTTTTGCACTCAGCTACTTCTCCAGCTCTTCCTTGTTTTATTTTGAGACAGCATCTTGCTAAATCATTAAGCTGCCCAGGCTGGATTGGAACCTGCAATCCTTCTACCCCAGGACTCCACCACCATGCCTGGATAGCTGTGGGCTCTTTATAGATGTCCTTTATCAGAATGAGTACAACTTGATTTGATTTCTAGTTTGGAGAGTGGAGTTTTGTTCATTTGTTGGTGGTTGGTTGATTATTTGGTTGTGGTGCTGGGGATTGAATCCAGAGCCTCCCACATGCTAGGTAAGTGCTCTGTCACTGAGCTACACCCAGCCCTATGTTGAGGGGTTTTTTTGTTTGTTTGTTTTGGTTTGGTTTTTGTTTTGGGTTCTTTTTTAGGGGGCTGTTTGCTTGTTATGTGTTTTTGAGACAAGATTTCACTATGCAGTGTAGGCTGATCTTGAACTCACTTTGTAGTCCAGGCTGGCCTCGAACTCACAACAGTCCTCTTGCCTCAGCCTCCTATGTGTTGGGAATATAAGTATGTGCCACTGTCGTGAGTGTCTTAGAGCACTCTGAACTCCGGGCAAGGTAAACACGCACACACGCCTGATCGGGACACGGGGGGTACAGTGCTCGGAAAAGAAAGACAGGAGAGACACCTTTACTGTCTGCACCGCGTTACACTGCACTGCACGCACAATCTTTATTTTAGGATTCATATATAGTAAACCCGATCAGTTCACAGAGCCCAGATAATTAAGTAGTGAAAAGGCATTCTTTGTGGCAAGCTACAACGTGACAGACTACAATGTTTATTCTAAAGCTATCTAAGTGAAGTAAATAATCACAACCAGTTCTCATAACTTCTCTAGCCCAGGAAGAAATTCATTAGCTCAAGAATGTTGTTAATTTGTCTGCTGTTAGTGTCACAAAGGGTGGCCAGCCACTTCCTCAAGACTTCTGCAAAACAAAGCCAGCTCACAGTATGGATTCCAGAGGGTGAGGGGTCTCACTGAGAACAGGCATTCCTATTCTACCTCCTTCTCGCATACCAGGGTGGCTATTGTAAATTGCAGGTTAGAGGGGGTTGGGCCTACAAAGTGACACCTCATCCCCCACACTTCCTTCCTTTTTATTTTTTAACAACAATTTCCATAAGATCAGGTTATTAATAGTATTTCGTCTTATGCAGTAAAAATACACAAGAACTATGGCAATGAGAACTATAATTAAACTAAGTCCCATGCCACTAAAAGTGTGGGTTATGCTCTGCCAGATTCCTTTGGAATCTAATCCTTTCAAAGATTGAGCAAGCAATTGCGCGAATTGTGCCAGGGATTTATCATCATTTTGCTTTGCAAAATCCTTGTCAATTTGATTATGCAAAGATTTTATTTCCTCCTGGGCAGAGGTGTTTCCATTTAGATATATTTTAATCATTTCCCATTCATGTTCTGTTTGATTATAAGGTCGTTGGGTTATACAGAAAGTAGTTGAATTCTAATCACATTTTAAAAACACTTGATGCTGAAGAGCCAATATTTTTCTACCCATCCATTTAACTGTTTGTTTAAGGAGGTCTATTTGTTGTTGTAGTTTGGCATTTATTTGCCACTGAGTTAACCAAAGTTTATGAGAATTTTCATGCCATAATTCTACAACATGTTTTTCTTGCAAAGAGGTTTGTAAAGCTATTCCTGAGACTGCTGCTAGGGAGGCTACAGTTATCAGACTTAACAGTACAGCAACCACTATTTTAATAAATCTTTTTGTACGTTTTAACAGATGTTTAAAAAATTCAGTAGTAACAGAAATTACCGGGTCTTGAGACCATGGTCGAGTTAAATTTACAGGCAACCAAATATGAGTTTTTTGTTGTAACAGCATAACTGTATAAGGCTTAGTGAAATTTAGTGTGCTATTTAAGCATGTAAACAATTGACAATTTAAACAAGTACAAGAAAAATGTGTAAAATTAAAAGTTCCCACTAAAAAGATATAAGGCAGAGGTGCACAAACAGTAATATTATACATTTTAAACCTAGTAAAATTATAAGTAGTAGATACAGATCGACTAGTCCCTGAATAGGAAACATTGTACAAGGTTACAGGTTGCATAGCGGCTGGAATCTTCCAAATATGATTTTGAAGGTGATGAGGGTATTCTTCGGCTGCAACAGCAGGGTTAGCGATTCCACCATCTCCCCACCACAAAAGAGACGTCTTCTGAGGAAATATAGGAGCTCCGTCAGTTATTTTCTTTGGATCTGGAAGACTATACACAACAGAGAGATTACATCTTGTCTCATTCCATTCAGCACATCCATTAACGAATTTTCCAAATGGTCCCCAAATAATATACCCATCAATATTTTTAGCAAAGTTTCCCATACATAGTTGCCAAATTATGGGATTATAAGAAATATTTTTATAAGTGAATTCAGGGCATACAGGAAATGTATTTGTGTCAGGTGCTGTTAAATTTCTCCAGGTAACATTAAAGGTTTGAGCAGCCAAGGCTTGAAGCCTTGTCCTTTTGTTGCCTGCTTTTATTCCATGTTGAATCCAATACTGCCATCCCAGAGGGATGCAAGGCGGTTCCCCAATGCAAATAGGCCTTTGATTACCATAATAAGTAAAATTGAATAATGTCCCATCATCTTGATTGTGGGGGGTTAAATCAGCACACGGTGCTGACAAAATTTCTCTAGGTGTGGTATAAAGTAAAATATCACTAGTTCCCCATTTTACAGGTTCTAATAAAGGGGGATTTGGAATATATGCCCAGTACGAATGTGGAGGTACCTCAGTCCCCGATGCAACGGTGAGCAAGGCACATAAAGCTAAAAACAAGTTTTCAGGGTTTAAAGGCTTTCCTGCTTGAAGGACAAGCCGTTGCCCTTCTATGGTCAATTTCTTTAATTGTCCCCATGTAGGGAGGGGATTTAAATTTGGTCGCTGTGAGCGGCGGGATTTTCTTAGCTGTAATCTGGCCATGGCTGCGATAGGAACAAGCTCAGCATCTTCAGCCTCTAGCTGGTTTCGCACTCGCTTCTGAAGGCACGGTTCCGGTTCCTTGGGGAGTTGTCTCCGGGGCTGGCGAACAGGGTCTGGAGGCGCAGATCCTGATCCATCGTCCAGGGACCCACTGCTGAATTCCATTTTCTGTGGAGATATAACCAAAACCTTTCCCCTTATAGAGCAGTGTGCCCTTCTCCCATTCAGCCTCTGGAGCTGTTTTAGTCCAAATAGGTTCATTAATCACAAAGGGCTGTTGTTGCTGTTCGAAATGTCTTTCAGCTCTTGTTAATATTTCACCTTGTGGTAAATTGAGAAAATTTAAAATAAACAATGCTTGATGCAGTAATGTTTTTGGACTGTTTTGCAATTTAAACAGTATTGGTATCTGAATATCCTCCTGACTCCTCCTTTTTAATTTTTTAATTTGCAGGACATTTGCATCTTAAATATAAGATACCTTTTACAAAAGCTAAACAAATTGTAAAAGCCTGCCCTATTTGTAGACCATTACATTTAAGAATTATTCCCGCAGGTGTCAACCCTCGAGGAACTCAACCTAATGAGTTATGGCAAATAGATATTACACATATACCTTCTTTTGGTCAGCTGACCTGAGCGATATGCCATATATAGATAATAAATGTTTAAGAATTTTTAAGAAAGGAGAGGAAGCAGATTGTCTCATTTCCCCGTAATAAAATTATACTTACCTTCCTAAGCGACCTTTGGAGCCCCACGTTGGGCGCCACTTGTCGTGAGTGTCTTAGAGCACTCTGAACTCCGGGCAAGGTAAACACGCACACACGCCTGATCGGGACACGGGGGGTACAGTGCTCGGAAAAGAAAGACAGGAGAGACACCTTTACTGTCTGCACCGCGTTACACTGCACTGCACGCACAATCTTTATTTTAGGATTCATATATAGTAAACCCGATCAGTTCACAGAGCCCAGATAATTAAGTAGTGAAAAGGCATTCTTTGTGGCAAGCTACAACGTGACAGACTACAATGTTTATTCTAAAGCTATCTAAGTGAAGTAAATAATCACAACCAGTTCTCATAACTTCTCTAGCCCAGGAAGAAATTCATTAGCTCAAGAATGTTGTTAATTTGTCTGCTGTTAGTGTCACAAAGGGTGGCCAGCCACTTCCTCAAGACTTCTGCAAAACAAAGCCAGCTCACAGTATGGATTCCAGAGGGTGAGGGGTCTCACTGAGAACAGGCATTCCTATTCTACCTCCTTCTCGCATACCAGGGCGGCTATTGTAAATTGCAGGTTAGAGGGGGTTAGGCCTACAAAGTGACACCTCATCCCCCACATGCCACCAGTTTAGGTTGAGTGTTTTTAATTATTTTAAGAAAAAGCTTTTTCTGCCATCTAACATACTTTAACCATTTCCATCTTCCATCACCACCCTGGCCCTCCCCTTCCCAAGTTTCATGCTTGGAGAGATTCAATGTGCATAATGTATTAAAATCATATTCAAGTCTCCTATTACCCGCCCATACACCTCACTCCTCCTTCTTCCCTTCCTCTTGTCTAAAAATAGTGTCTCTTCAACTTTCTTGCTGTCTTTTTTAAATTTCACAGATTAGGGAGAATGTGGTATTTGTGTTTCCAAATTGGCTTATTTTGCTCAACATGATGATCTCTTGATCTACCCACTTTTATGCAAATGGCAAAATTTCATTCTTTCAGAGGCTGAATGATACTCTTGTGTACACATAGCACATTCTTTATCCGTTTATCTGTTAATGGGCCCCTAAGCCAGTTTCACATCTTGACTGTTGTGTATTGTCCCACAAAATACGGATATGCAGTTACCTGTTTGAAATGCTGGCTTTAAGTCCTTTAGGTACCTATCAAAGAATGGTATAGTTAGATCAAATGGTAGTTCTATTTTTAGGGTTTTAAAGAATCTCCACATGCATATCTGTGGTCACTGTACTAATTTACATTCCCATCAGCAATGTTAATAGGTTCATTTTTCCTCACATTTTTGTCAATATTTACTGTTTTTTTGGTATCCTTGCTGATAGCTACTGATAACCATTGTGACTGGGGTGAGATGGAACTTCAGTGTAGTTCTGATTGCATTTCCCCAATGGTAAAGATGTCAAACATTTGTTTGTATACTTGTTGGCCACTTGTACTTCTTTTGAGAAATGTCTTTTAAATGTTTTGCCCATTTATAGATTGGGCTATTTCAGTAATTTGAGTTCTTTATATATTCTGGATATAGGATTCCGCAGTGAATCTGTCTGGGCCTGGGCTTTGCTTTGTTGGTAAGGATTTAATTACATTTTCAATTTCATTAATAGAAATTGAGTTGTTCAGCAGTTTTACATCTTCTTGACCCCACTTTGATAGTTCATATGTTTCTAGGAATCTATCCATTTCTTCTATGTTATCAAACTTATAGAGATTTTCAAAATAGGTGTTGATGATCTTATGTATTTCTACAGAGCCTATAGTGATTTCTCCCTTTTCATTCCTTATTGCATGAATTTGAGTTTTTTTCTTTCCCTTTTTAAATAAGATTGGCTAGGGGCTTATCAATTTTATTTATTGTTTCAAAGAACCAACTTTTTGATTCATTGATTCTTTGTATTGTTTTCTTAGTCTCTGTTGCATTAATTTCTGCTCTGATCTTTATAATTTCCTCTCTTCTTTTGGCTTTGGGCTTGACTTGCTCTTCTTTTTCTAGATGTTTGAGGTGTAGCATCAGGTTGTTTATTTGCGTTCATTTTGGTTTCCTGCTGTGGAAATTCACTGCAATAAATTTTCCTGTGAGGACTGCTTTCATTGCATCCCACAAATTCCAATAAGTTGTATTTGTATTTTTATTTGCTTGTAGGTATTATTTAATTTCTTCTTTAATTTCCTCTGTGATCCACTGATTGCTTGAGTGTATTATTCAGTTTTCATGTGTTTGTGGGGTTTTTGTAGTTTCTTTTATCATTAATTTCTAGTTTCATGGCACTATGATCCCATAACACACATGGGATAATTTGAATTCTTTTACATTTACTTAAGTATGTTCTGTGGGCTATTTTATGATCTATTTTAGAGAGTGTCCCATGTACTGCTGAGAAGAATGTATAATTCTGATGTTGTTGGATGGAACACTCTGTATATGTCTATCAAGTCCATTTGTTCACAGGTGTGATTCAGTTGTTATTTCTTTGCTGATTTTCTGTCTGGTTGATCTATCCCTTTGTGTCAATGGCATGTTAAGGTCTCCTGTTATAATTGTGTTATTGCGTATTTGATTTTTCATGTATGTTAATACTTGTTTTGTATAGCTTGGTGCTCCAGAATTTGGTGCATATATATTTAAGATAGTTATCTCTTCCTCTTGAAGTTTTCCCCTAACTAGTATGTAATGACCTTCTTTATCTCTTCAAACCATTCTTGGTTTGAAGTTCACATTGTCTGCCAACAGAATAGCTACCCCTGCTTTTTGGGGGATTCCAATTGAATGAAGTATTGTTTTCCATCCTTTGACTTTCAGTCTGTGAGTTTCCTTTTGGGTTAGATGGGTTTCTTGTAGACAGCATATGATTGGATGTTGTTTCTTGATCCATTCTGCTAGTCTGTTTCTTTTAATTGGTAGATTGAGGCTACTTTCTTTAATGGTTATAACTGTTACATATTGGTTTATTGTTGACATGTTATCTTTCTGCTGTTGCATCTTTACCTTTCCACTTTGTTTAATTGTCTGCCTTGATTAGTGGTTTCTTTGCTATGTGTATCTAGAATGTCTTTCAGTATTCTTTGCAGGGTTGGTTTGGTGATCATGAAGTTCTTCAGCTGTTCTTTGTCATGGAAGTATCTTATGTCTCTATCCATTGTGAAGGATGGTTTCAAACACTCAGCTCCATCCATTGTGAAGGACAGTGGAAACACTGGAGGAGGCTCAGGAGGTCCCCCAGGCCTGACTGGACCATGCCTAGGGACCATCTTTCAATCCAGGGTTGAAAGTATGGATTGGAAGTCGTTTTCCTTTAGGATCTGAAATACTTCACTCCATGCTGTTCTTGACTTCACTGTTTGTGTTGAGAAGTCTGCTGTGATTCTGATAGGTTTTCCTTTATAGGTGATCTGTCTTTTCTCTCTAACAATTTTTAGTATTCTGTTCTTATATTGGATTTCTGGGATGGTGATTATTAGATGTCTGGGTGTAGTTTTATTTTGGTTATGGCTATTTGGAGTTCTGTATGCTTCACTGATCCATATGTCAATTTCCATTCTCATGTTTGGGAAATTTTCAGCTATTACTTCTGTAAATAGCCTCTTGATATCATTTGTGTTGTCTCCTTCTTTTTCATTTATCCCTATCAATCTTATGTTGTTTTTCTTTGCATCATCTAGCAACTGTTGAATTGTTATTTCCTGATTCCTTGTTATTTTTAAAAGATCTTCCCTTTCCTGTTCACTAGCTACAATCTTCTCTTTGAAGACCTCCCGTGCCTCCTCTGTTGGTTCAGGAAGTTGGGCAGTCTCCTAACCCCTGGGAGTGGTGGTCCAAAGCTCTCCCCAAGTGAGCACAAGTGCACTGGACTCATCTTGCGCACCCTCAGCTCCCCGGATTGAAGGAAAGTCCCTAGGCATGGTCCAGTCAGACCCAGGGGCCTCCTGAGCCTCTTCCAGTGTTTCAGGAAGCTGGGCAGGCTCCTAACAAGTGGGAGCAATAGTCCCTCTCAAAGCAAATCTTTCAAAGGATTTTATTATTTTACACCCTCAAGCCTGTGATGGGTAGGAGGTTTTCTAATTCTTGAAATGATTTCAAGGCATCGTCTGTCTTGTTCCAGTGCACAATACTTAGTTCCTTTTTAATGGTGCTAATCTCTTCAGCAGCCATGCTTCTTTTGACCCAAACTTTACATATAGGGCCTTCTGTTCCAAAATTTAAATTTTCTCCTTTTTCCCCCTGCTATTGTCACTGCAATGCTGAATGAAAGTAGCCAGCAATACCCTTGCCAACATCCTGAATGTTGGGCTGTTGTGAAATTTCCTTCACTACGTTAATCTCAGTCTCAGTTTCAGAAGATGGACAAAATGAAAAAAAAAATTTCTGGCAAAGTATGAAACACATAACCTCTAGTCCAGCTGCTGATGGAGTCTTTGTTCCTAGTTGAGGCCTCCTGAGCCTGGCCTTTTCTGTCAGCATTCCTGTTAGCATTCTGATCTTCCAAGTACTGACTAGAGTCATCCAGGAAGCTCCGTTTGCAGCATTTTAGGATGCTTCCTAAAGCTTCCCTTCCTCCTTTCCCCTTCCCCCACCATCTAAAGCTTTCCAAATGCCTCCCACAAACCAGTTTCAAAGGATTCTTAACCATATGGTCAGGGTATAGTCACAAAGACCTGCTTCACTGGCACCAATTTTTCTTTATTAGTCACTTTCTGTTGATGGTACAAA